AAGAAAGCTTTTGGTTGTTCTTTAGAGTTTCTCGAAAACTGGTTTTCCAGAAGACCGGTCTTTGAAGGCCTAGCAGCAGCATTCATGGTGATATTCGGAATCAGCATCGTCGACTACCTATAGTCCATTCAGTTTCGTTGAAAAAGCGATTTATCAGTTGGGGTACTTTCCTCGTTAGATCTCTTAATGCAACGGAACGTGTCTCACCATCAATATTTTTTTTGACAATATCCGTTTCATTGCACAACAATTTTTTGGCATTCACACATGCGTAACCAATATCGACACAACTGAGATCGTGCTTATTTTCAGGTGGCTCACCAATAACAACAAATTTGATACTAAATATCCGAAAATGATTAAATTTGAATCATCCTAAAGATATTTACATACTCTCCGGAAGAATCTGGTCCCATAAGATCTGCTAAATGTTGACGTTGCTCTTTATCATTAATGGGGCAATCTATAACGAATAATATTTTAGACAGGACTAAAAAACCTATTTGTGCCTGATACCTTTTTGGAAATTGAAACTATATTTCACATTTGGATCACATTTTTGTAATGAACAGGGTGTTTCGAGTTCTTCAGTATAATTCAAAAATTCTACACTAATAAATACTTTTTCACAATTAGCGTCATGAAATATCGGACATCTATCATTTAATACTAATTCGTGAACGCCAATTGTCACATTGTCTCGCAAACGCTTTTTGCACAACACACTTTCACAACCAGTGCAGTTGAATACACCTTGTTCACCAGCTGTGCATTGAGTTTGAGAAGTCATTTGTGATTGTAAATGGAAAAGAGGTAGGTATCACTGAAAACAATACTATTACAATCACAGTTTTCGATAAAATGAGTGTTCTTTCGAATCACTCTGAAATTAAAACATTCTTTTTTCTCCTCTCCTCTATTTTCTTTACAAAATTTTCACATGTTGGATGAAGAGAATGATAAAGTTACCTGAGTAGATGATGAATGAGTTCTATGTTGTTATGTGAAATTTTTGTTCGTCACAGGGTTTTGTTTCAGTCTAGTAACGAAGATATTAATTGAGCTGTTTAATCTTAACTTCTTTCCTCTTTTGCAAAATGTGGGCTAAGGGGATATCTCTTTCACATATGAAAGCAGTATCTATTATCAACAGCGCTGTTTTTCTCAAACAACACGCTCTACAGTAAGATCAGAAACGAGAGAACCAAAACTTTTACATATTTTCTTGTAGTACATATTCTTCACACATTTCTTTATCAATCTACACAGGCAAGCCAAAAAAATTTTTTGAATCTAGTTTAGGCTAGATAGAAAGGAAGAACAAGCTAGGTAAATGTTCGTGTTTAGCTAGCTTAAGCTAGATCCAAAAAATAGTCTTTTTGCTGAAAAGAAGGAAGCTTTTATGATGAATCGAGAACTGAGAGGGATTTTTGAAAAGCCAAGACTTGAAAATTCATCTAAATTTTGGCATAGAGAAGCTTTTAGCACAACAGCGTACGACTAGTTTCGCTCGAAGCAAGCATTTTGGAGATAAATTCGGGATACAAAAGCTGTTCAGAAGCGAATTCCGGAGTTGCTTACGAGAGTTGACATTTCTGATTAAAATGAGACATCTCCCAGCTCTACACGACCTTCCCTTGCAAAGTTATAGAATTTACATAAAAGCCCTAAATGTTCATTGCCAGCTCAAAGCTTCATAAATACGGAAGAAATTAATTTAGGGTTTTTCTTGTAAACCCTATAACTATGCAAAGAAAGGTCATGTAGAGCTGGTAGATGTCTCATTTTAATCAGAAATTTGCGGAGTACAATTATGCCTCATTAAGAAAGGCTTTGGTTATTCTATAGAGTTTCTGAAAAATTGGTTTTCCAGAAAACGGGTCTCTAGAGGTTTAACTGCCCTTCTCATGTCGATATTCGGAATCAGCATGGTCGATTAGCTATCACCCACTAGGTTTCGTCTCAAAAGCGATTGAACAGTTGGTGGACCTCCTTCGTGAGTAGAAGCATCGACGAAGTATTCCTTTAATATTAGGATAGATGAAAATTATGACATCTATCTAGTAATTTGACAATTGTTCTATGCGGATGTATGTTTGAGAAGCTTGTCAATAGCTCGTTTTGAAGCACAGAAAATCCTCTATCTTTCTATGTATTAGCTTTGGTCAAAGTCTTTGAAATCGTACGAAAAAATTGAGAAACAAAGTGAATGACCCTCATTGAACTGGTGACGAAAAGTGGTGAGGAATAATTTTTTCAGCGAGATCACGAGCAACTTTTGAAAGTCGGAAGTGTTGGGAAGTGAAAAGGGAACATTTCTGATCATTTTCACTTGAAATCATATTGGCCAGCAGAAACTGTTTCCCGTCCTTTGAAAAACCGTAAATTAAGTTTAAAAATCAAACAAAGATTTTGTAAAAAAACCTCTCGTGAGGAACGATAATGATGCCAATAATCGAATATCGAAACCATGCAGTCAGATAAAACTGTGCATCGCCAAAATATCATGCGTAAGAGGCGTGTGATCTTAGACTGGGGATGGCTGCATGGTGTATGAGAAGTTATTCTTGAGTTATTTAATGTCTTAGAAGAAAAAAATCATGTTAAAGAAGATAAGTTAACAGGGACAGTTTGCAGGACTATACGGCAGCAACTGCACACCCAAGCAGATTTTCTTCATCGTGTATCTCTGTTTCGAGAGATGACGGAAAGCACTAGTTCAATAAAGCTGCAGAAAAAAGCAAAAATACAAATTCAGCTCGGAAGGTTGCAGAGCTGTGACTCGGCTTGTCCACGTAACGCGGCACTTCACTGATCAAGTTTTGTTTTTATTTTTTTCATCGGGCAATCGATAGGAGCCATCACCAGACGTAGTTTTTCATGCTGATCACGAATTCAGCCTTTATTTTCAAAAAAACTGAATTTTCAATTGAAAACTTTAATTTTAATTTTCTGACCTATAGATTTTGGTAAAAAAATTTTAAAAATATACTGTCGAATAGAGAATTCAACTCTTTACAAAATGGCTGAATTTGTTTTGAGGAATATTTCTCAGTCGAGGGACAAGAGCTGTGTGCAAGTTTGAACTTCCCACTCGATTTAAAAGCCTGAGGCAACTTTTGGAAATTCATTATCAGGTGGAGTACCTTCAGGAAGGCTAGAAGCACTCAAGCTGTAAGTATGAAGTTGTTTGAACAACGCTGAGTGCCCTAAACTGGTATGACAAAAAAATGTGTAACTGCGTTACGTTTGCTTTTTCCTTTTTTTAAGCGAGTAAAAATAGTTAGAAGAAAAAATTGTTTACCGCTGAAAAGCTCGTTCGGTGCTCTACAAAAGTTGCTCTAGGGGCATTTCATTTGGAGAACGAATTTTGCAGGAAATTAGAACTTTAGCAAGAGCACTACGAGTTTAGGGTCTTTTCATGTAACAGCGTTACGCGATGAAAAAACCTTTCTAGAAGCTCGAGACTTCAACCCCAAAACTTCGTTCTTATAGCATAAATAGAGTATGATGAGCTGCGTCGAATGGCATTTGAATGAACTTTCTAGCTCTCAAACTTTCCGAGGTAATTGAAAAAATTGTGTCAAAAACGTAACAGCGTTACGTTTGGACAAGCCGTATTATTTATTCTTACTGTTTCATTAAATACATTACACCATGTTCGAAAACGTAGTAAAAAATGAAGTAAAAGAAACCTCGATTAGGAAAATAATCCCGATAGTCGATTATTTTTTCTCAATTTCGCTCAGTTTTGGGTGCTTATATTTCTGTCACTGATAACACTAAAATTTTCATGGCGCTTCAGATTTAGTAAAGCAAACAGTTTTCTACATAATGAGACATTCGACAGCTCTACGTGCTTTTTTATAACTGATTCGGAACGACTTTGCTGAATGTCCTAACATCGATTATAAATCTATGCATGACTAATCCCGATCAGGATACATTTTTATATCTCAATTGAGACACATAGTTCGATCGAGATATATATGCTCCTTACGCTATTATGAATATAAATCATATTAAGGTTAAAAAGATGGAATCCAATGTATTGTGGAATCCAATATTACTCAATACTATTGTGCAATATTATTAGGTGATCAATGTTATTGGTCCCAATATATTGGGTATAGAATAATATTGAACCCAAATATTATTGGATACCCAGTAATATTGTACAACATCTTCAATAATGATTGGTATTGGTGTATGCCTAATTTTAAGTCAACTCTGAAAATGTTCACTACAAGTTTTGGAATGTTTTTATTGGTAGAGAAAGAAAAATCATTCTTTATTATCTCGATCAGAATATAAACGTGATGATATTTTCTTTTGACGAGCAGGTGCATCTGTAGAGATTTGATGGTAAAACATGCATCTATGGAAATGAAATTAAACGTGAAAACATGCTGGACAGTATTATGGTTAAGTCAGTTTTCTTCGAAAATGAATTTTTAGTTCTATTGGGTATAAAATACTTAATTTGCATTTTCATCCCTCACCCTCAATGAGGAAACAGATAACCTTTCCTCGCCTTTACAACGAAAAATGATTCTTCTCCTTGAAAAATGTCTCATTCTACCAACTTTCAGGAAAACGCCTCAACTGTAAAAACATAATTTCTTTCTCAAGTCCAAGCGAAATATATGTGGCGATTTATTTTCGAAGAAAACTGACTTAACCATAATACTGTCCAGCATGTTTTCATGTTAATTTCATTTCCACAGATGCATGTTTCACCATCAAATCTTTACAGATGCACCTGCTCGTCAAAAGCAAAATATCATCACGTTTATATTCTGATCGAGATAATAAAGAATGATTTTCTTCCTCATCCAACAAAAACACTCCAGAACCCTTCAGCCTAAAATTCAGCAAATTCATACAAAATTTCACTCTCTGTTTGAACAAAAGTTTCCACTTCTAATTTCCACTCTCCCTTTCAATAACAATCAAACATATTCCACTCTCTCCAACAAACTAAAAAAACTTTTCTGTCCTCTGTTATTTAAAATAAAATAAAAATTGTATTTACAAATATGATCAAATTCTACAATTGTAAATAAAATCAAAACAGGATAAGTATATTTTTTTATGAAAAAGATATTTATGAAGAATTTAAATGTGTTGCAAGTAATATAACGGGTGGGCCAGATAAAACCAAACTATACATATACTTTAAACTATATGTATAGTGAAACTCACACTAATTGATAACTGGAATTGAAGATTAATAAAACAACTTCGAATGATGTGATTAAGTTTTTACAACCGGGATTATTTTCCATTGGTGATTTTAAAGACCGATAAAGACATTTAGTTAATCGTAAATATTCTTCATTTTATAAATAACGATCCTGAAACAAACAGATATATATGAGGGGGTACTGCTGCCTTGAAAAGGTACCGAAATTATGATAAAAGTTAAACTTGATAGAGGGCGCTAGTTTCCGATGGCACTTCAAACTGGAAAGACAATTCTGTTTAAGCACAGTTTTTGTTGTAAAAATCGTTAGAATGGCATAAACACGGAAGGAACTGTGTTAAATAGTTCATTAATCAAATAAAATCTATGGAAACGGGTCTGAAGAACATGAAGAATTTTCAGATTCGCTAATTTACCGATTTTTTATTTGTTTTCTGCATGAAATGAAGGTTGAGCGACGTGTTCGGTGCCCAGGGATCTCTAGAGAGCTTTTTATATAGCAAAAATTAACGATGTCATTGTGGAGATATCAGTGTGCGAGAACAAGTGCCTTAGCTTAAGACTCCTTGAACCCAACTTAAAAC